ACGCTCTTCTACTCTAACTTATGATATTTACTCCCCCCCCTTACTGCCATAATCCATTATATCCAACCCTAAATCCAGTATTTCCAAACTTCTCATACCTGGTGCCCAGTTAATACCACCTTGTGGTAGGCATCTTTTGCTCAGGGGACAGTATTGTGCATTTTAAGTCAATCGTGATATTTCTGGCTTTCTCCTCCTGCAGTGCATCCTTATTCTTTTGTATATGGGATGTCACTGTCCATACACTGCCGAACTGGATGAGGTTTAATGATGTTCTGGTCCCCTTCACTCTGGGGTGCCAGAGTGGTGAATGCATCTCACAGAGAACCTTAAATTTTTCAAGATACATGTCACCCCCACCTAAATGCGGCACACCAATGTGCTTTGTTACGCAGTTTGGGTACCATAGCATAGGCTCATCCATCAATTTCGTCTAAATACAGAAAATCATTTTAATCCAAAAATATGCTATAAAAAGAAGTATTGTATTCTAGATTAATTTTCTCCATGCTTTATAAAATAGCATTTTCAAAATCTGCAAAGTATTTAAAGCAAATCGGATCAGTTTTTACTCTTACTTGAGAAATATATGCTTGCTTGTGCTTACGTTAAATATGTTACAATGAAAAGCTGGACAACTCCTGACTATTATGATATGCTTAAAAGAAATACATGGCTTATACTTTCTCCCAATTGATGACATTTTCAGCAATCAGCAAGTTATACATCTGTGACATATACCGTCTAAAAATTAATGTTCAGTTCCTTATCTAGAAGTCACTTACCTAATACACCACTGGGTTCAATGGGATACTCAAGAATTGATGTAGCAGGTGCCAGTGTGTAGGGATACTCATAAGGTGTGTAAATTAAACCAGCTTCAGGTCCTGGGGGAACTATTGCAGCAGTTGGGTGAGGAGTTCCATTTGGCATGACAGCGGTCTGTATTTGTCTGATCAAAGGCATTATGGTAGGGCCAGCTGGCGTAGGGGTACGCAGGGCAGCTGGTGGGAGAACAGGCGCAGGCCCTGTAATAATCCTTGGAGCCTGGGCTGTTGCTGCAAGAGAAAAGGCAAGGGCTGCTACAGTAAGCAAAGAAATTTAGAAGAAAGTATGGAGACAGCAGTGCAAAACATGGAAAGATGGGGGAAGTAGAAAAGTAGGAAAGAAGAAAAATAAAAGGAAATCATTAGTACATGCATTGATCACTCAGTGCCAAAGCACACCATTCAAAAGCAAACAGCTTTCCATTTCCCAGTGTGATTAAGTATGAACATGCAAAATAAAAGCCAATTTCAAATGGTAAAGTAGATTTCTAAAACAGGTTACACAGCACAAAAGCTCAATTTAGACCACATATTTTTCATTACCTATGCCTTCAAGACTGCATGAGACTGAGAGGCATGCAGGAAACAAAGAAAATACTGTTGTAATCACACATGGAATATTAAAAAATAGTGAGATTATAGAGTCCACAGAAACGTAGTTATGCTTAGATATCATAAAATATAAAACATTTCAGTTGCTGCTTGTAATATAAACATTCTATTCAGTATGCATATATAAAAATGTGTCTATAAACATTATCTATTTTCAGGATAACTGGGGATTCAGATGGAGACTGGATATTTATGGAAAATTGCTTAAGCTTTGTTAAGTGGTCCCTTGTGATGAATACCAACCGATCAATCAAGACTTGTCGTCCTCTGATATTAGAATATTCTAGCCTATGTTTCTGAAAAACACTATAGCTGAATCTAGACTAGAAAAATAGTACTTCATCAATGTGTAAACCCTTGCTCACATTAGTACACAATGTGCATCTAAATACACACTTAAGATGGCTACCATCCCTTCTTAAGAGTTAAGCCTAGTTTTGACTAATTCATTAAAACAAAGCATAATACAGGTCCCGGTCACACGCGCGAGACAATGCGCGGGGGAAGAAAGGCTATTTAACCCAGATGAAATTGACCCGCAGTTGCGCAATCACACAGTTCTTTGAAGCTGCAGGCATAGCCCGCCACTGCATGATCAGACGCAATTACGGGTGAGTTGGGTTTTTTTTTTGCTGTTTGTTTTTGATTCGCTTAAACAGAGGATCAATGAATCACATCTCTACACTGAGGGCTTCCTACGGCAGTATGCGATGATGCGCATACTGAGAAGAGGGAAAAAACAACGGCACGGTGTTGGGATGGCCTGATCAGACCATTCTGAAGCCATGAGAGCACGCTGGAGCAATCACCCAGGGGAAAGTGCATCTGTGGCCCGTAGCAACCCGTTTGATACTGGACTATCCCCGGTATTTTTTTAACTCCACTTCTTCGGCAGAGTGAGACAGGTTGCCAACGGGTGCGGGACGCTTGCCAGATGTTCCCGTGTGATCGCACCCTTAAAATCCGCCCGGCATTCATGCCTATCACGTGGCTAATTCTGCATGTGATCGGGACCACAATTTATCAAATATCTTCTCAATTTTATTCACAAGTCATTGAGAGTTAATAAACCATTTTGTGAGCAGTATGGTTAGGTTTTAAAGTCTAATATAGTATAACTGGAATATAAAAAAGGCACAGAGCTCTGCTCTAAATAGCTTTGTCAATGGATGAATCCATGTTTCTAACTAATATCCAGTTTCAGTTTCCAGGAAAAACAATTTGCAGTGGTGTAGCCATGCTAGGTAGTTGCAACAAATACAAAGAATTTTTGTTAGCACCAGCTTTTTCCTGTGTTAGGAATAGTAAGGCGTGGAGTAGGTAAAGTCCCTTTATTCCTCCTTTGTTCACATAGATCAGCAATATCAAACAGAAGATCATTCCAGAAATGTGAAAGAATGCTTATATCTAGACTGACTTTACACTGTAACAAAAGCTGAATCTTAGTATGACTGTTTTTGGTGGAGAAGTTATTAAGGACAAGCCTCAGTTAAATAAATCTATGTTGTACATAGATAATATCTGTGATTTATTGATGTACGTTAATGAAAAAGTAACTAGTTACTAACTCCCCACTCCACTGGCCAAAGTTTTACAAATCATTTCAAGGTAGAAATTTCTCTAAAGGCAACCTGAACTGCAATCTGGATATATGGGTACTTGTATAAATTGCTTTGTGTTTAATTCTGCCACATACCATAAAAATGGGGATACAGGAACAAATTCTGCCTTTTAGTTCATCTGAAAGTAGGGCTGCTGGGCACACCTGTTCCAACTCCAGCTATGTGGCTTGGCACCTGGGACCTCAATTATGTCAAGGTAAGAACATAAGAGTAGCTCTGTTGGATCAGACCAGTGATCCATCTAGTCCAGCAGTAAATTTCACACAGTAGCCAGTTGTTCTGAAGGGCCAACAAATAAGGCACAGAGGCCAACGCCTTCCCCTGATGTTGCCTTCTAGCACTGGTATTGCTGCCTGTAGAAATTCAACTTGCATGCATGTTAGACTCCTTGGGCCGTGTTAAGTTGCCGTGTCTTTTGTGTGCAGATGATACAATTGCCTCTCAAGATCCATGAGAGCTAAGTTTCTAATTTGAAGGTCCTTCTCTTAAGTAAAAAATGACAGATAAAGAAATATAAGTGGGTAGTTGCTGGTCAGTCTACAGAGCAAGTAAAGCAATTTAAATATTTAGGAGGCTAAGTGTTGCAGCCCCCCTCCTGTCTAGGTGATGAGCTGATTTCCAAGATAGAAGTACTAATCCAAGTGTTCTATTTCCTCCTCAGGATGTTTTTGAAAGAAAATGCAATACATAGAGGAACAGAGAAATCCAATCTTTTTTTAAAAAAAAACTTTTCAGAATAAGCCAAAATAATTTCTTCAATGTTAAAGAATCCAGCCACCCATGCACCCACTCACCCTCCTTCTGAAAAAGTGTGCTTGTACACAAAAGCTTATACTAGGAATAAAACAGTTGGTCTTAAAGCTGCCAAGGGACTCCAACTTTATTTTATCTATCTCTCTTTCCTCACCCTCCCTTCCTCCCCCCAAAAGGAGAAGCAGCCCTGGAGAAGGAAGCATATGTTCGGGGGTGGGTGAGGGGGGAAGAGGGAGGGGGCAGACTTGTTTTTGTATATCTCCTGCATGAAACAGGAAGCAAAGAGCCACCAAGGGAGTTGGGGGAAAGCAAGCTATGCTGCAGCTGCAGCAGCAGCCCTGAAAAAGGAAGCAGGAGAAGGAAGTTGCTCATGGACCAAGATCTGAGTGCTGCGGGGGCCAGATCTGACCTGCCATATATTTGACACCCCTGCACTAGATGGACCACTGGTCTGATCTAACAGACTCTTAAGTTCTTTCTGTACAATGTATGGAACCTAGAGTTGTCAACTTTCTCTTTGATAAGGCTCTTCTACATTTGTTGACCACCTGGCTGGCAGAAATTTTAGCATAGCATGGAGAAAAGTCTCCCCAACTAAATCCATGCATTTCTGGTAACCAGTAGATTAGAAGACCTAATAAAAAATACTTCTCATGTAGACGATCTCAGATGATTTTTCTAGTTACGGCACTACAGGTAAGGATGGATCCTGATCACATCTTAAGCAGAACATGCTGCCCTATGATGTGATCAGGTCTTACCCAAGAAGAGAACACAAACCAAGCTCATGAGTCTTTTTGATCTTTCAACAATTAACAGGTTGACCAAGCTTTATTAGGCAATCTGCTTTTATTAAAAGCTTGGCATTGTGCTAGGCAGAAACCTGTACAGGGTAGATACAACCCATTACATTCACCCCCCCTCCCCCGATACAGGATTCATCTCAGGTTGGAGAAAAGGCATGGTCACCAATAACAGCATTGGGACCCAAGCTGGTATTAAAGGAGGAGTGGGATCTGTCACTGTACTGGGAAACTCTCTGAGCTAGAGCAAACCAAAGAATAGACACTATGCTGATCCTATAAAGATTGTTTATACAACTAAATATTACATATGCACAGGCTGTGAACAGTGTATGTAATTTACAGTTGCCAGTTACACAAACAACTCAGTCAGTTACATGAACAATTATTTCTTAAGGCATCACATGATACTGGTCACATCTGTGGTATAGTGGGTTGTGAATATAAACACATGAGCCTTCAGATACCAAACGGAATTTGGATCCTTCATAGATTACGGAACTTTCTGGATACAAAGCACATGTTTGTACTGCTGAGGTATCGTTCTTCTTGAACACCATGCCGGTGACTCAGGCTATGCATTCAAAGCCCTACTTTATATCTCAGACTCCCAACTATCAAAAAAAAAAAAATCTAGCACGGGTTTATGTGGGAGCACACTAGATTAGTAACAACTGGGGTTGCCACCAGGAGAAGGTTTAATTATTGATAATGTCCATGACCGTTTAATTTCTCCTAACCAGGTTACAAGCAATACATTAGATTCTACAGAAAATGTCTATGGGGAAAAGTGCTGCAATGCGCTTGGAGACACAGTGAAGACAAGATCTGCCCTACACCCCTAACATTAGGCAAAACTATATGTAAGTGTACAGTCTTTCAGTTACTATACAGGCATACCACCCAGCCCCAAATAGCACCTGAGCCTCCCTTGCTCAGTCAATGGCTTATCTGCCATTACCTGTCATGTCAACCAGGCCACCTCTAAAGGAGTGCAGTGTCTTTTGGGTTAATCGCTATCCTAGGCAGTCTTGAGGGAAAATGCACCAGATTCTACAAGGAAGCAAGGAAGCATTTCCCATTAAAGGGAAGGCAGTCTGAACATGCTCAGAAACACTCAATATTTAAGTTTTAGAATTTTGCAAAAAAAAATGTATCAACCCTATCTTCATTTCAGAATATGTCCATAGCACTCTCGTACACAAAGTGCAGTTTCAGAACACAATCTATATTTTAGATTTGTGTCTGCAAATAGTAAAAACTGGCAATATACAGAAATTATCATTCTTCTTATAATTAGTTGCACAGTTCAAGACTAAATATTGGAACGTTATATTCATCATGTTTACAGAGTCAAAGATAAACACCGTGTTTTAGAATTCATAAAGAAAAAGAAACTTAAGGTTAACGAAGTTGCTTTCCCAAATTACATGGCAGAACAGCTCACAATCAGCTCTGTCCAGTT